ACATTCCTGGAGTGGGCGGAGCGCTCCTGTCCTTTGCACGACAACTGTTCTGTAGAATAAATCTATTTCCTCCAGCGTGGGAGATAGAAACTGGAGGAGGTTTTCGTTGTATCTCATCACGTATTTGTTGTATTTAACCTTCAAAACTGTCGCTGCTGCTGAGATTAACTTTAATAATATTTTTTTGTAGGGACGAAACTAACGCGTGTTTTTGACGCAAAAATGCCAAGAGGATGGGCGTAGTGTACATAAATCTGAGATCTGTAGTGCCTGTTTTAGCCTAGGTTAGCATTTGCATTACAATTATAAAAGACTGATGCTAAAGGAACTGCCCTGGTACTTGAGATAAGTGACTATGTTTTTAAAAATGGAGGTGGAACAAGTTTTGACTGGACTATATTAGTTGTTTCCATTTTTTTATGTTTGCCTGTTAACACTTAACGAAAAGTGAGAAAACTATACTCGCTGTGATAAACTTAATTCTGCTTTCTCCATAGGATTTCAAAAGGGCTAGGCAACTTAATAAACTATCAAACATTATACTGACTGTATTACAGAATTGAATCGTTTTTATACTTGTGAAGAAGAGAGATTATATTAGTTATCATTCTAGTGTACTTTAATTAGGGCTTTTCCTCTTATTTATTAGCCACCAATTCTATTTCGGGTACCAAGGAAATCTTGAGATAGGTTATTATTTCCCTATTTTTTCTGACATTTTATACGTTGCGGACTTTTGGGACCAGTTCTTTCTATAATATAAAAAAAAAATTATAGACATAAATTACTGTATACTTTATTATAATCGTGATGAAAGAAAACGATCGTGATGAGACGAGATCGTGATGAAAACGTAGGTTCGTCGAAAAATAGAAGAACTTTCACTTAATTAATTTCAAACTGTATTGGTTTTTAACTATTTACAAGTAACAATTTACTTGGAATAATGAAAATAAATCAACTAAAAGTCGCAGATGACTATCACATTGTTAGTGGAAATGAAATTGTTCTCCAACACTATTTAGTCCTACTAAACGATTTATTCCATTCAAAGTAATAGACACAACACAACAATGAAGTATTGTTTTACTTATGCTTGCGTATTTGGTTATCAATTTCAAAATACGCTATCAGCACTTTTTATGTTTAAACATATTTACCCTGCGAACTAATCTTGTGACGGGGATTCGTTTGAATGTTGACTTTTTCAATTCAAATACAGTAGTGTTGTTAATATTTTCATAATTTAAACTACAGAGGGACTATAACTGACGTTTTGCAGTGTCAGGCAACTCGTACAATCTTGATCCGTGCAAGGGTTTTTTTAATGTACTACCCGACTCAGCCCACATAGTATTATGAGCCATCTAAACCAACTTTTTGTGAGTGGGTAAATTTAATTTGATTAATTATCAGTATCAATAAAGTCCTTGGTTGTTGCTCTCAGTACAAGCTCAAATTCAAGTTCTTGGATCTCAGATTTTGTCAATCCTTGAGTTATGCAGGGCATGAAATTATCACAATCCTATATATTAATAGGCAAGCATTTTTCTTGATAACTTTTTTCTCAGTTCGTGTGCATCGCAGGGAAATCTACGCATTCTACTAGAGAGATATTTTCCTGTAGATGTGCAGAATCCCTATATAAATTAAAATAAGCCCAAAGATAAGTACAAAAAATGAATATTTTTTTTTAATTAACATGGACTTTATGGGTTGCCATACTGATGAAATAACTACGAAATGTAAACAGAAAATCAAAACGAATGGAAGAAATTCCAATCACATGTTTTATTTACAGCGGGGGGTAAAAATATACGAGTCTGTGCATTACATATTTTTGGTTGAACTTTCGACCAATCACCTCTAGTTCGTATTAAAACGCGATCCATTGCCCAATGTAATCACATCCACTAACCGGTGTTCCAAACATGTAAACTCATAACTCAAAACACGAAACCCGGATACAATCTCGAGCAAACATTCACATTACACTGACCATTATTTATCCGATGGAGATTTAACACAATATTATGACCTTTGGTCGGACATATTTGAATATTTCAATTTAAAACTAACAATACGCAATTAGCTAGCCAAAGATCAAAGGCGCCGATCGAGTATTTCCGTCTCGTAACTCACTCTGGGTAATTAACCAAAGCGTGCTGAATGATCTACGAGCAACACTCGTATTTATATGTATTGGATCGTTGGTAGCAGCTATTACTGCTAAAGCCTACTTTTTAATTACGCCGGTAGCTGTGAGAACGCAACGGTTAATCGCGTGCTTGGATGAATGGATTCGAATTAGTTATCCGAATTAGAAACTCGTTTTAGTCGGGTTTTGTTTCAAGGTGCCGCTGCGATTTAGATGTTCGGTAATTCGTTGTCTGATTCGGATTGGGGAGTTTGATTCGTTGGATTTGGAACGGTTACATAAGAGGTCGTGATATTTATAAGCGATTTTTCGTCTTTTTTTGGTAGGCTCGGAAACTTAATACAAGGACTGACAGAAAATCGTGGTAAGTTATTAAGGATGACCGTAATATATTGCAGTCAGTAATAAATTATAAAGAACAATAAAGATTTTTAGTAGAGAAGTTTCTCAATGCTGCAAAAGATATTCTGGCATTAAAGGAATATCCTTGGCTAGTTTTTGAAATAAAATGTATTGTTTCATATTCATTCAGCCTACGGTTGGCTCCGATCCCCTAGGACACTCATTCGCCGATCAAAAAGCGTTTAATTGCCTTTCATCTATCTATTATCAAATTGTCTTCTCAGAGGCACGCTCTTGTTGCTCGCGTTCATCGACGAATGAGTAGTCTTAATCCATTCATAATTATCCTAAAAATATATATTCGATCACACTATCCGTGTTAGACATTACCTACAATTCAACTAGACAACAGAAACTAGGAGTACATAGTTTAAACTATAATCATCCATTTCGAGCTACAAGTTTCCTAGTATCAGTGTTGTTGGAAGACTGCTGCACCTTGGCTGGCCCTCAATTGTTTAGGAGTGCCTCATTATCACCGCCTCCTCTGCGTGTACTAACACGGGCAACCTTCTACATAAACATGGGCGACGGCGACAGCCGAAACTCGGGATGAAGTCGTCCAAGGAAGTGCAGGTCCAGCCCACTCTTACAAGCGAGTCTCCTTAAACATCCTTCGGTGGTGTAAATCAATCAACCCAACACGTCTTGGGCCGTGGATTGGAGCTTTAGACACTGTAGTAGACTTCCAGTCTTTATGAACACACTGTTTCTAGTTGTTTAAACTCCATTGGCAGTTTTAAGGTTTTTGTCCAAGTCCAAAACATGGTCTTCTAACTATCCAGCGTTAACCATTTCTTAGACATAATCACGGCACTGTCAAAATAAAATGACATCTGGTTCTCAGCAGTCTTCAGATCTGAAGGTGAGCACTACAGATTTACCACTAATTGACTATGACCACCAGACAAGTCGTTGAATGACAAGGCCAAACTGCCTTGATACATAGCTGAGTGGTAAATATTGACTTGCATTCAAGATATTGAATGGTTCAATCGCAGACATGAAATATTTTTTAATCTATGTTAACGTGGTCAAAATATTTCTCAGAAAGATGACAAAGTTTTACAGAAGTTAAATCTAATGAAATTTAACTCAGTGTTTTTATAAAGAGACTGGCAGCACCTTTATAAGGTAATGTGATGTCTAGGTATGTTATATATTATCAAAGATTCGAGTTTGGAGATTTGAATTTGAAACTCATGGTATGGTACATCTCATAGTCTATATGATAGCAAATAAATTGATCATACTTATCCCCAATCCATCATTAGTCTTTATATATAAAATAGGTGCAGACCCTTTAGGTGCGGTAGACTTACATAAGTTTCAGAAATTTACCAAGTAGTGGAATAGTAAAGGATAATGAATGTAATAAACGAGTTTCGCAGAGGTTTCTTTGTAGATCGGTTGGGATTTGTGTGCGTTGTTATTTGAACTATTTATGAGTGTTTTAGTGTCTAATTAGCTTAAATTGACTATCCATTTTTTTAACTGAACTTAGTTTGTGAAAATAACATTTTAATGAGTTGGGAAACCAAATAACATTAAAGGTAAATATTAAAATACAATAATAATATGAAGACTTGTATATTTATTATGTACAGTGATAAATACAAATATTGCTCTATACGTAAAAATTGTGCTTTGGAAATTCTGCAATAAATAACAACAAATACCTTAACTTAATGAGGAATCAATGTAATACTATAAAGCTAAATATATAAAGCTACACAACCATTCGAATCGCGTATGTACAAATCCTACCTTCACATAGGCTAATAAAGCTACATGTTAGTACGTGAAATGTATAAATTTAGTGCTTAAATTCTACTCGATGTGAAACCCCGAACTATTTACTAGATACATAATTTACACGTAAATATTAATGAGTTTTACACTAGTGTTCTTTAATCGGAGGATGATTCGTAATTTTATTTTATTTAGTTATACACGTAACCGTTTTTCAAGTAGAAGCATACAAAAAATATCTCAGAAAAAAAGTTCTAATAAAATTAAACTGAGTGTATTTTTAGCTTCAATAACCATTGTAAGAAATTATAATATCTTTAACTAGGCCTACACCTGTTTAGGATTTATTTTTAAAACATACCTGCCTTTAATAACTCTAATTCAGATATTATTTTACAGGGCTGCTTATGAAAAAACTAAAAAGTATAAAATTAAATGTCTAAGATTTTTATTAAAATATGAGCTCATTGAGGCCAGATATCCTTGATCCTTGATTTGAAACCATTAGCCCAGACTTTCACACAATTATTGCATTTGTATCTTATCACGTGTCTTAACGTTTCCAACACCTTAATATCTTTCAATCGGATTCCATAACACCATTCAGATAGTAAATACAATTCGTTTAAGTACAATCGTTAGACTGAAGTTTATGAAAAGCATTATTGTTTTTTTTTACGCCCAACTATTGATATATTTAATTTTCAAAAAGAGATATAATTGAATTAAGCCTTCGTCACAATTACGTAATAAATTATACTAACAGCTAAAAGGAATGTAACTTATCCCATACGATATGCGTTAGTCCTGGTCACAGTCTGTCGTGTTTAGTGAGAGGTAAGGGTTGTGTCGGAGAAGGATACAGAGGTTCTCCTAGCGAAGGCGGAGGTGAGAACATGGACGGATCACCCCTCAGCACGTTCAGCGCCGCCATCTCCCGCCAGGACTCTATGGACGCTCTGACGTCAGCCTGTGATAACTTGCTGAGTTCTTCGCTCCCTCGGTCCTCGCCGAGGTTTGAGTCTTCGTCGTCCGTCGTCACGTTGATTTCCTCAGACGTTTCCGAAGAAGCGTATCTTCGTTCACCCTCCGTCGCTGTCTGTGGGAACGCTTTGAACGCGCTGTGTTCCCCTCCCATGTGACGGGGCGCCCATGGTGGGGTTAGAGGTGTCTCCGAGGTGGTGGCGCCCTGACGTCCCTGACTGGTGGCGCTGGTGGCTCCCGCTCTCCTAGATTTGAGCAGGTTCATCCTCTGGTGGCGCCTCCACTTGGCTCGTCTGTTGGAAAACCACACCTGTCAGTCAGACAGATTGAATCAGATGTTGTTTTGGTTTGGGCAAACAGTAAATCAGCTGAGTAAATGTAAACGAGCATTGATTAAACTTAGGCTAGTCGTTGTCGTGCATTCCAACTGTGTCGATTGTGTGTTTCATTGATACGACATAGCGCTCACCGAAAGATTGACAATTCAGTGATGACACCTACGAATGGAATAATATAGCATCTTCATGATCTTGCACTCACGCTGTGGGTAGGTATTGACCGTAATTTTGTGTTAAAAAAAGAATATCGCGGGAATATATTAAAATACAATCTCAAATCTAGGGACGGATGTTAAATCATGATAGACATGCTGTTATAAAGCTTTTGAATAAAACCAGATCAAATATCCTTTCGGTGAGCCCTAAGTCTTACTTTTAAGCTAAGCTGGTAGAGCTAATCACGTTAATATTAATTTTTAGTTTAAAATGTTACTCACCTAACAAAGCAGATAAATATACACTTATTATTAGAGATAGAAAGTAAATTAATGTGACCTACTCCAAGACTACCACAATTCCAAAACGCTTCTTTATTTTATTGCACGTAAAACCCACCTTTTCTCCCACAGTTAAGCTGTTTAGAGGCATCACTGACCATTGGTTGATTGCCATCACTTACAAGGCTACATAGATGTCACTTAGATCGTTTTATGACAGCCAATTAAAAATAATTGAGTTGTTTCCCTGTCTACGCTTTACGATTGTTCCATCATAAATTCAATAGCTGAACAAGCCGTAGACAATTAATAAGATACTCTATAACGGGGACTTTTCGTTTTTAAGAATCATAATGTTTTTTTATTTCTAAATTTACCTCGTTTCACTCTAATAAATTAAATGAAACGAAAAGTCTTTACTCTTAAATACATGATAAGCATTTAAACGGGGAACTATTAACCGACAGTTTTAATTAAAATGCCTTACCCATAAAGCGGTAACTAGTTTTGTTACAATAGTTACAGTAAACATTATAAAGCGTTTTGTGGTAACTGCAGTAAGTGGAACTGCAATAAATTAAACCTAATTACCTGTTATTTCATATATAAAAAGACACTGAAACATTGTATGTATAAATATTTTTCTTGTTACGGTATCGGTTTATATAGTAAATACTTTTCATGACAAGAGAACCATTGATGCACGTTAACTTAAATTACATTGAAATGAAACGATTGATATAAGTCTTATGTCAACAATAGAAGCCCTTTAGTGATGTAAGATTAAAAAGAATGTGAATTAGCCTGGCCAATTACCATTGTGCCAGGACAATGCGTTTTAGGGAGGCAATCTGGTTAGTGAGGAGTTATTGTAGTTCTTGATGCAATTAGTGTGGTTTTATTTTTGGTTTGGGTAATGTTGATCTTTTAGTTTTGAGAGGTGGTGGATATAAAAAACTTGGGGGGGATTGGTGAAGTAGCAGTGGACGAAACTGCTGCAGTGAGTTTCTGAGGTTCGGGTTTGGTCAATGTATCTCAGGCCGAGTTGGTTGAAGAAGTCACGGAATGGTGAGTGGAAATGGGGTAGGCTTTTCTAATCTTGACCCAGGAAGATTTAAGGCTGTCGCTTTTTTTGGAGGCTTCGAAATAAATATTTAGGGTCTGGGCTGTTAAGAGGAGCGGAGATAACAATTTTAACTTCTATACAAGGTAACCCCTAGTTTACCTCACCTGGACTCTGGCCTCGCTGAGGCTGGTCTTGGCCGCCAGTCGCTCTCTCGTCGACACACAAGGGTAGTGACTCTTGTCAAACTCTTTCTCCAGTTCGTCCAGCTGGTCAGGGGAGAAGGTTGTGCGATTCCTCCGGAACTTTGGCTGTTCTGAGCCATCCGCGCTGCTCGCACTCTCGTCGTCTTTGGCGTCAAGGTCTCCTGCATAGAACAGAACTGGTTACTACAGCAACCAATAAAGTATACCGCTTACTAGCGAACACAAAAGATGCTACTAAATATTGTATCTGGGTGTAATTATTTCCTTACTACTTCTTGGCCCTCCCAATTGACCAGAACTTTCGCACTTCAAACACAGTCAGCCAGTCAGACAGTTTGTGGTCGTGAAGTCACAGATTTTGTTGTACTTGACATGTTTTCAGTATAACAACAGCCAAACATTGTGAACAAACTTAAAATAATGTTTAACTAATAAAAACGTTGTATTACAATTAAAATAGTATTAAAAGTCAAAATGTCTATTTAAAAACGTGTGTTTTTTTATCCATCGAGGAATGTGATTTTAAACGTTGAAGATTATTATATTCTGGTGTGAATAGGTTTTCACTCTGTAATCCAGCTACAGCTGGGCAGAGTTGACTCATAACTCTGAATGTAATCAATCAATAAATGATTTTCAGCTCTGGTAATGATTAATGCTATAATTTCTGTGACCTAAGGTTTCAAACTAGAATTTCCAAAGTATATAGGGATTCCACTCTGTGAATCTTCTAAGAATAAACAAATACGTTTGAAAAATCCTTCCGTCCGTCACAGAGATGTACGAGAACAACTTACAGTACAAATAATTACACACGATACAAGCTGCAAACGCGTGTTCCGTGTCTCGGTAGCCGGAAACTCAGCGCATCCTGCACGCGTCTACCGATCCTATCAGCCGTAACTAAAACACGGTCATACTGTGTCACATTGATGTGTCTACAAGGTGTCACGCTATCGCGGATACCTAAACTCATAAAAATAATGACATAAGATCTTGTCATTCATATCGGCTATTTAACAAATTTAAATATGTCCCCTCAGGTTAGGCCTTCAAATCTGAATGTCGCTGGTTTGATTTCTGTGTTACTGGACACAGACGCCATTTGTCGTTAAGCTAGCCATTTATTGTTCTATCTAGCAAAAGGTTGACGGTAGCAATACCAGCGTTTCGACAGTGCCCTTACAATCAACGTAAAAAATGTAAATACCGTAGATAACACCAAAACAATAAAGACAATATTTATTCGTCGGGGTCTGGTACGGCAGTTGATCTCAGTGTTCTAACCTCACCTACAGCATTCTAAACTCGCCACACCAATGCTGCGACCTCTATAACTAGCCTGAAGTAAACTCTTCCGAGCTAGATTTTATAGTAATAGGAAAACGGGAGTGCCGATGGAGACCTGTGGGGGTGCGTGCGTTTGAAGGGACTTGACCTGGTCTCCATCGGCACTCCCGTTTTGCTAACACTGTAGCATTCTACAATGAGAATGACTATTATGAATGAGTATTAAAAACTACTCACCCATCAGGCGAGGCATGAGGTCGCCCGGACTGCCCGGTGCCCTGAGTTGTTGTGGAGGCGGCGTAGGGGCGGACCACAGCCCTGGAGGTGGCCAGGGGAAGGAGGCGTAAGGGTGGGCGGCTGGAGGGTGGTACAGCCCGTAGCCTGCCGCCCTCGCGAACTCCGCCGCCGCCCTCTCAGCCGCCCTGTTCCGCAGTATGCGGTTGATACTGCTGACGGAGGGCGCTGTGGCATTGGTGCACACTCCTGTAACAACAAACAGTCTGTTTTTAACATTTGTCTAGTTTGATAGAAAATATATACACAGTAACTCGAATATTTTACACTTTAAGGGAATTGTGTTTAACTCACCACCTGATTTTTCGCAATAGTTATCTAGAATGCTTCCTTTATCTTTTTCCAGAGTTTAAATTAAACGTTTCATTTAATAGAATAGGAAAATACACAAGCGGTAATTTTACACTTCGAGAGTGACAAGCCTTTCTTTAGAGCTCTAACAAACAATACGGTAATTAGTTTTTGGGTTCCGCTTAATGTATCACGGTCATTTGAATATTGCCTTAAATCCATCAAAATTCTACTCGCATGGGAAATTTCAACAAACGATTATGTTTGTGAGAACTGGCGTCTAAATTCTAACCTATAAGGCTTGGTTAAAATTTACAGAAAGCGTTTGATTTATTAATTGTAGAAACCATGTTTTAATATCGAGTCGGGCTGATGGATAAATAGCCTCAAGAGTGACCATGCATTATACCGAAGGTGAAATAGTAGTTTACGCAACGATTGCGTAAAGACTATTAACGCGAGTTGCGTACACTACTTTACCTACGACAGTTTTTTTAATTACTAACAATCTGGTTTTTAATTACTAACAATCACTACTCATAACTTCTTAGAAAGGTTATGTTTTCGTTGATTGTCATTGCCACTGAAAGTGATGCAACGACTTATTGTATAATCAGCTGATTTCATGTAATTACGTGTTTGTAAAACTTCGTTAAAATAATACGTTACTATTTTTCAGGCAATAGCTTCTGCTAGCAGCATTCTTACCATAAATACAGTACCAAGTACAATAAATTATGGAAATATTGCATATTTATTTGGACAACTGAATAATATAGTGAAACAGTTAATTTACAGTTAGATCTCAGCATCGAATATGTGGTCCACAACGAGTTGGGTGAAACAATGGTTAAGAGGTTTTCAAAATAAACCAGAAGCACATTTTCATTTATCAATCTAACCTTATTTTGTTTCGTCCATTTAATGAATTGCTGGTATGTAATGTCATACCTTTGTTTCGATTTTGGTGGCAAAAGATTAGCACAAACAGTTTTGTGCTCTCATTTCCATCTCGTCAACTTCACTTTCACTAAAACTGATTTTTTTTATTTAGTTTAATCTACCTTCCTTTAACTACCAACTTAGGTTAAAATTACGCGAGTATCAACAGGAACAAGACGGATCAACAATTAAAATTGTCAACTGATCAGCTGATCAGCTGATTAGTTGACGTTCGAAGCATTACAGTTTTACTTCTTTTCTCTCAATCCTTGAATCTCATTGGTCCGTTACCCGTGTTGTTATGAGAAAAACTATGCTGATATGAAATGAAACTATGCTGTTATGAAAGTAAACAACTGTTAAGTGAAACTTTTCAATTCTAAGAACTTAACTGAAATGGCTACTTTAAAAAACGGTCGTAGGTAAAAGCTTTTAATTGTTTTAGTAATTTTCAAAAAGTCTACAATAATTAACACATTCTATTTTTAATACGGTTACACTGTACACGAATCTCGAAGTTAAAAATATTATTTTGGAGTCACCAACAACCAAACTATGTACTTAATTTTTACCTTTTCCAACTGACTGAATAGGAACAATGACACTTTCAACAATAACCGTTTTAACCGTTGGTTGTTGCAGATCTAGTGTGTTATTTCGGCGCCTGCAGTCGTAGACGGCGCCTATTTTAGGAGGGCTTGCTGTAAACCTGATTACACCTGTTGAAACAGATAACTACTGTTTACTGGGCCATTATCTTGTTAGTTAATTGTGTGCAGATAAAGAATGTGTACAACATTTTACTTTACTACTGTCGTGTTTTTACGTGATGTTGTTTTTGTTCAGTTTGGATAATGGTGTTTCTATTTGCGTCGAGAATCGATCCTTGAGATAGTTAATTGGTTGTTTTGTTTTATCATATCTTCGCTCTAAAATAAAGGGGGTTCTAATGTGTTTTTCAGCCAATAACATAGTTTAGTTTAAGCTAACACTAGAGTGTTGAGAAACAAATTAGGCTATTTGGTGTTTTTACTGGTAGGAAAATATTTTAGTCCCCTCGAGTTTGTATTTGGCTTCTAATATAAGTTATATGATGTAAAGTTATAAACAAAAGGTAAACCGAACAAATTTAAATTAGAGCTTAGAATTGTTGTAAAAAAACTATTTATTTATTTTCTCTAGGAATATTATATTGTTGTCTGACAGTTATTATCACCTAGTAAAGTATGGAATTTCATGTTTGTTTTTAGGGTAGGACAAAAATGCTAGAGTAAATCCACGACATAATTACGAGTATTTTTCGCACTTTTCCTCACTAAAAATGTCGTTGTCAACTCATGTCATTAAAATTCATTGACCGTTATAAGGATAACTCGATAAAACTGATAGTTCCAAATAAATGCCAATTTGATCTAAAAACGTTCAATTGTCTTACACAAACGATAACTACTAACACATTTTACGAAGCTGCTGAGCCCAGGATTGAACAATTGTTATAGGAAAAATACATACACCTGGTGTTAGTCAACCAAAACATTTTACTAAGTTTTACAGAAATCATTTCATTAGAAATCATCTCAGAGAAGGTATAAAAGGTAAGTTGAAACAATGCACATCACAACAATATGACTTGCTCTGACGAATGAATGAGTCTGTAACTCACTATTGTAACTGGTTACACCTTCACTCATTTCCGTTCTTTTGTTTATGTTTTAGTCTCGACGGTTTCTGGGTGGGCATTGTTAAGCTGCCTATAAAAGTATAAACACTCAAAGTGGGTTTAAATTAGACACCTTTCTACGTACTTCGGAAATATGTACTTTCCATAAGTAGTTAAAAAGAAAGTAAGGATTTGAAAATAAAATATTTCTCCGGAAAAATCAACAATTGTTTGATTACGATATTGGGTTAATTTATAGTTATTTAATTTTCTTATAACTGTACTTTCATCAAGTACTTGTACTTTCTTTACTAACACCAATATAACTCAATAATCTAATACTGATATATGAATTATTTTTACATATTAAAACTCTCTAACTAATTTTTTTTTTCAAAATACACGAAAACAATCTAAAAAAAAACACAATTTGGTTATAAAAAAACATGTAGCACGTTAGTTTATTTTACAATAAAACCTAGTTTAACAATGTATCAATTTTTACTTAACTTATCCAGCTGATTGTATGCATGTAGTCACTTAGACAAATAATTGTCTGTGACTAGGTTGTATCACAGACAACAGGCTATTAATTATTGGTTCTATAGTCTGTGGTTGTACGCTAATCCCCACCAGTGTGAGCCATATTGTGGTGAGGATAGGTGATTCAAATAGTTTTTAGTTATTTAGATTATTCAATTGTTTAGTATATGAACCCTCGTAAGTCATTTCCCGTAAAAAATATATTAATTTGGCAAAAATGTATGTTATCATACATACATGTAAAACGTATACAGTAAATAATAAAATGTAGCCTACTGTTAGATTATGGTTTATTGGTGAAAATAAAACTTATTATTAAGTAAAATACGATGTATATGTAGTTTTCATGTACAAAAGTACAAATTTTGCGTTGTTAATCCTCACGAGTTACTAACCTTTATTTTGAATTAGAATTAGTTTAAAATAAAAAGCTAGGGACCGAGCCATGGCTCGGTGTAGTTCATTTATATTTTAAAAACATTATAAAGGAAACTCGCGTTTTTTACAACTAATTTTGTCTTTTATTATTTAAGTTTCAGTTGAATTTCAATTTATTATGATGGAAATGTACAACACATTAATTTAATATTCGGTGGTAAAAGTCACTCGTTTGTTGTAGACTAATAGCCTATACTTGCATAAACATTGTTTTGACAGTTTGTTTAAATGAAAACAACTGATTGAATATTTTTGTTTAGATTCTAATCTACAAAAATAAAATATTATATTATTAAATATTTAATTCACTGTTAAATCCAAAGTTTGCTAAAAATTGCTTAGTAGTACGGGGATTAAGTTTTGGTAGGAGAGAGCTAAGTAAAATAATCCGTATTTGATCGAAATTACTTTCACCTAAACCGAGTAATCTTTGCTAGAAATAGTAACAACTGATGTCTTTCCCTTGTACTGTATTTAGTAATTTGCTAGTAGATTGTGGATGGCTTGTTATAAACACATACTATAGGTCTTTTGATGAATTTTCCTAGTTATTTTGTTCAACCAACATGGTAGCTTGGCAACCCATAAGACCAATGTTAAAAATATTTGAATTTCAATTAATTTTTTTCATATTAGATTTTGTTGGCAGTTTAAACTGCGGTTAACACATTTTAGGCCAGAAATAAATTACAAAATATGAAGGAAATCGTCGAATCTGTTTACAAGATTGTTGTGTAAGCGTACATTCAACAATTAAACATTGCTTATACAGTATAAGAGTATAATAATAGGAAATATATATAATCTTCAGATAAATCTATGGATCGGTTGATACTGGAAAGATAACAACTCTCAAAATACCGGATAGAAAGAGTATATCTGTACTCATTAGCAATTCTAAAACGATATTTTTATCAGCGTTATTACAAATTAAACGTTTCACACTGTTATAACATTCGGCTGATCACTTGTATAGAATAAAAGACTCAAGTTGACAGATCTTCAAACTGGCGTCTACATATTTGCCTACTCACTTACATATTCTGTTTGACCAGACAAGAATACGTGTTTGGAAACAAAACTTTTACATTATTTACAAGTTCAACGAGTCTAATGGTAATGTGTACAGAGCGATCTAAGTGAATGGATCGTACCTACTTTGCTAAGTAAATAATGTATTCGACTGGCGTCGTTCAATACACTGTGTAAACGTATTTTAGAAAACACGGAAATCTTCCTATCATCTGTTTGAACAAGAAATATTCTTTATACAGTATAAAGGATAGCACTATGTTCAAGATGAAAATTAGTGTAT